CCTGGCCAGCTTGTTGGCACCTGCCGCTCCCCTCATTCGCCCGCCAGGCACACCTGCGCTGCTAGATTGCCTTACCCAGAGCACTAGGCATCCGTTCTATGCAACACGAGAGACCTCTCTCAGCCAGAGCCCAGCCCATGTGCTATTCGCTCAACCCACGGCAGACGTCACCAGCGCCCATCACGAAGATGTACGTCGTGGGAAAGCAGAAATGCCATGTCGGGAAAGACGGCTAGGGAACAAACGCTCGTCATCCTCCCTCCATTCCACAACGGCTGCCACCAAAACTCGCCAATCTATCGTGCAAGTCCCTCCCCCCCCCCCCTGCCCGTGGTGCACCCTTCAAGCATTAAAGTGGTACTTTTTTTTCTGGCATCAATCCAGAATACAGAATAGACAAAGAAAAGGGTGGACCGGCTCGCCATCAAGGCTTCCAACCGCCAGGCTTTGCTCACCCCACACACCAAGCACTCGTTCCAATCATGTCGAATCCTTCAGCGCAAGCCCACACCCACCCCCAGCCAGCGCCTTCCGACGGCCCCCTCCTCCTGATAAACTCTCTGAGCGCGAGCCCGTGCGACAACTCTATCGCGGCCCCCTGGTCTCGCCGCCCTTTTTCCCCTTCCACCAACCCCACAAATCCCCTGATGCTTAGGTAGGTAGGCTCGCTTGTCAGTCCTCAGCTGCGCGGCCCTCGCTCGCCATCCCGATCGCCCCGGAACCCCGACTTGTGCCAGAAACCTTGGAACTACGGCACCGACACTTCCACCACTTCCACGCCAGCCGACTGGACTCACCAGGAACGACTGCTTGCATCGGGAGCCACACCCAGTCCTACCAGCCCACTAGACACTTCTGCGCCTCACACCACCACATCATCACGACACGTCAAGAGGGGCTCAGCTGCGTAATGGTATGATGACCAGTGATGCCTATTCCTTTCCCCCTTCCCCTACCCTCTCTGTCGCACTCCTATCTACACTGTCAAAGACGTACAAGCCAGTCTCTTTCGAGGAACGACTCGCTCCGCCCAAACCATGTCATGGACCCCATCGGAACCTCCGGTTTCCCAGACAGCCCCAAGGGACCATGTTATCAGGGAGCCTTCTTCCCCCCCCCTCCCCTACGGTTCACTCTGTACCCGCAATACAGGACAAACCAAGCACATGGGAAATGTATCCACGTGTTTTTGCTGCATCTCCCGCGAACACCACACTCCGACCCCAATATTACGACCAAGAAAGT